GAAGCTTTTATTATGCATCCTGCTATCACTCAAGCAGTACTAGGTAATAGGTATGATATCATAGTCTTTCTTTGGATGGAATTCTTTTGATTGTCATGCCTAACATTACCCAAGCAGTGTTTCATGTGCCGTTCGGATCGCATGCATATTGCATATTTGATGTTTTTTTTCTAGGTCTTTAAATGAGAAGGCAAGGGACTTTCAATCTTTTAGCAGTGATGATGAAAAAAAGCTGAGTTTGTTTTAGCGAGACCTAGAATCCAATAAAGCTTTTCCTGATTATCGGCGAGCCTAGCGTATCATTATTTAATTACAATTTTCTAGCGAACTTCTTTTCTTCCAACCGGCTTTAAACTTCCGACGTCCTCCGTTGGCCACAACTAACTAGCCAACTTCAGCTAGGCAAACATCTGCCACGCACAGATCCAGTTCCAACTGCAGAGCTGGGTCCACTGGTGGCTGAAAACACACCCCACTGCCAGCTCAGAACAATAAACGTGATTAAAAACAAAGTAAGAAAACTTCTGCACCGCCAGATACACAGTATACAAAATGGGGGTCCACGTGAACCTTTGGTACGACTCGTAAGTGATAAAACTTAACCCGCGCCCCGTAGGGGGAGGGGGCGAAACGGCCCCCCTGTCCTTTTCGGTCGATATCTCCTAAACGGCTGGAGATATCGCCACCAAACTTTCAGGACTCCTCCGGGCATAAATTTCACACATTGTGACGAAAAAAATTTCCAGAGGCTATGATAGGTTGGCCACAAATGACGTCAGAATGACGTCATGTTCTGTTATTTTCGACCGAAAAAAGACCTTCGCGAGAAGACCTGTCAGGCCTACAGCTTTGAAGATACAGAAAAATGATCAGATATAAAAGGTGTAGGATCGACAGGGCTACAAAACTGCAATTTCGGATTTTTGAAATTTTTGAGTTTTGACCCACAAAAATCAAAAATGCATTTCTATGGATATATTAACCAAAAAATCCAAAAAGTTTTTTGAGTTTCGAAAAAACCGGAATATATGTGATAGTACCTACCGTCTTCTATCTACATACCAAATTTCAGATCGATACCTCTTTTTTTGGCTAAGTTATAGCGAAAAAACTGTTCAAAAATGATGACGTCAAATTTTCAAACTCAATTTTTGGCAATTCTAGACCTCGTAGAGCAAAACAAAGACCACCATTAGACTCCCCGTGACGAGCTGCATCGAATCGATACCCGTTTTATGCAAAAATATCATCTTTGAAATTTGACCAAATTTGACCTGACCTTGACCTGACCTTCACCGAAACGTGACCTAGGCTGGCCCCAAAGGCTGCCTAACCCACCTAATCGCATTTGTCATGTAAAATGGACCATAAAACATGTATCACACGACACTTTCATATTGTGACCCCGGTGACCTGACCTCGCTGTGACCTGACCTGGTATCAGTGACCTCAGATAGCAAAGTATGTATTTGACGAACAATGTACCATCGATGGTTTTCAATAAATTACCAATTTACTCGATTTCACAACACATTTCTTGAAATGCCTGTGAACGGTGAAAATCTGACCTTTGACCTGACTTGTGACGTCATCGGTTTGACCTAGGTCAATGAAATTCGGTCACAAGGTAGTTCCCGGGTGGGGCTATCGAACGCCGTTTGAATTTTGAAAATCGGCCGATAACTTTCCGAGATCTTAGGGGGGGGGGCCGAAACGCCCCCCCCCCCCTACGGGTGGTAGGGTCCGCCGGTAGCCCTACGGGGCGCGGGTTAATCCAGAAAACATGTATCACACGACACTTTCATATTGTGACCCCGGTGACCTGACCTCGCTGTGACCTGACCTGGTATCAGTGACCTCAGATAGCAAAGTATGTATTTGACGAACAATGTACCATCGATGGTTTTCAATAAATTACCAATTTACTCGATTTCACAACACATTTCTTGAAATGCCTGTGAACGGTGAAAATCTGACCTTTGACCTGACTTGTGACGTCATCGGTTTGACCTAGGTCAATGAAATTCGGTCACAAGGTAGTTCCCGGGTGGGGCTATCGAACGCCGTTTGAATTTTGAAAATCGGCCGATAACTTTCCGAGATCTTAGGGGGGGGGCCGAAACGCCCCCCCCCCCTATACGGGTGGTAGGGTCCGCCGGTAGCCCTACGGGGCGCGGGTTAATCCAGGACGTACTGCAACCTCGTTTCGATTCACAAAGCTCTGGAAATGGATCCCTCAACAGTCAACAGTCAACAATCAACATATGCCATACCTTTTTACCCTCCTAGATGGAACTTTAGAACGAGGGAAGTTGACCTGTGTCTTTTCGAGCTGATAAAAAATCTGCCGTTGGAATTAAGCAAGTCAAAAAACTTCGGTCTTGAGCAATAGGGCATAATTTTTGAGTGACTGATGAACTGTCCAGAGCCCTGCAACTATTATCGGTACTGTATAATTTAAACATCCTATATACCGCTCAGTGCAGAGAAGTGCGTACTGCGCAGTATGGATGCACACTGGGCAATTTGCTCACCCATATCTCTCAGTGCTGCGACCAACGTCACTTCGTTCTGTGCAGTGGTACAATATAACTCAAAAGACCACGATTCATGTGCGGCTAATTTCCCAGGGGCGGCTAAGGTACGAGGGTATAGCTGACGAGTTGTTCAAATAATGATGTTATATATAACTAGAGAACTGTCAGTTCCAGCCACCAATGCACGGCTACCGACATTACTCATAAGTCATAATAGTCTTGTCTCCTCAAACGGTGGAATCATGTTCGTTAGGTCTTCACAGAAAATAAATACTCGTAATGAATAAATCTAAAAATGACAAAAAGCAGTTTTCACTTGATCAAAGTGATTGTAAGCAAAACATTTCAAACGGTATTTTATCATCACCTGCTTAAAATATGCATAAAAAGAGAAAAAGTGGGAAGCCATGAGCCATAGGTATATGGCACAACGTTTGAACGTAACGTCTAAAAACTAGTTCAGGAGAGGGTTTACTCGGCTGTGCTCCCAGCGTATCTGTAACGCACCAAAGCTGGTCAACAGCTCGCCTCTCCGGTGTAAAGCCCCCGTTGCTCAGGTCGTTATAAGCCAAACTTCTGTCCTGATGTTACACAGTGAGGGCTCTGCCCCTGAAGTTGCGTCCGCAGACGACTCCCTGGGGCTGAACTTTGCATCACTTACTCAGAAGCCGGGAGATGCCGGCGAACTTTAGATCACCAAGGCGGCATAAATAGATAGTCACCGATGCATGTGAAGTTGGCATTAGTAAGAGAACCTATTCCCAAATCGCCTCCATGAATGGCGTGCGATTATCATAACGAGCACGGTGAAATTTATTGCCGTCCATCTAAATATGATCACTCTCCTGATGCGCGTCAGTCTCCGGGCTCTGCGGCCGGTCGTAGGCACCAGGCAGCCCCGGGGGATGGAGTCCAAAGTCCGCTGCCGGGACGGCCTGCGGTCACTCTCCGGACTGACCCAAGCCTCCTTCAGAGCCTGTGTTGGCCGCTGTCGCCGAGTGCCGCGTCACTGCGAGGTGACCGTGGCGGCTGGGCCGAGTGGCAATGTTGCATGACGGCCGTCCCGCCCCCCCCCCCCTCCACCGGGCCAGTCACGGCAGGCGAGTGGTGATCACGTGCTGGTGTCGATGGCGACCTCGGCGGTGCCGTCACCGTCAGTGTGGCAGCAGCGGCGCAGGGTGTTTGAAGGGAAAACTGCATAGGGTTGGCTATGTTGAAGGAGTGACGGTGGGTTTGTAGTCTACTCCATAACTTCACATGATTCATTTTATTCCGAAAACCAGACAGTGGTACTTACCTACTAGTTAATGATGGCTACCCAGAAATTTGTTAAGTGGAAACAATGAGAGCTGAAGAACAATGATTTAAAGAGAAACCCTTTTATGCTCTGATGGAGAAGTAGTTATTGGTAGGTGAGAGGATGGTGCGACGAAGTGCTCATGAGATTCGAAAGTGTGGGCTGATCTAATGAAGGTCGTTGATCTGTAAGGAAAAATAAGAACTGAGAGAGGAATAACGGATTCTGATGAGGTGAAAAGAAATGGGGGGGGGGAGAGGGCTGAAAAGTGGAGAGCTTACAAAGATTACTAGAGGTTTCATAAGAGATTTCGCTAGCGAGGTCGAAACCGATAGTCGTGGATTATGTTGCTGAAGTTGTGGAATATGATGAAGAAGCAGCGTCCTGTGAGGGACAGGCATCGACCCGCCCGTCTCTATGCAGTTATGTCTGCACGTTCTCTGCAGTCTGCAGTCGGGATCGTTGTGCCGTAAAATGAGGGTTCCCGGTCACGCACGGCAGTAATGGATGCAGCTCAGCGCACCGAGTTGAAGGATCAGCGCCGGTGGGCGGTACACATCCCCGGCAGATGCTCCAGCCGCTGATGTTTGCGGTGCTGCCACAACTTGCGAAAATGAGCCACATCAAAGGCACCAGCGCTGGTGTAGACACAGTGTCTATCACCTGATGATGTCGTGGCTTATTTTATCGAAGCGTGTCAACAACTCATTGAGGATTCAGTGAACAGGTCGAGTCAGCGGCACCATGATCCGTTGATGGGTGTTGAGAGCGCCTATCAAAGTACCACATGTGCGTCATAGTGCTGTCAGAACAGGACTTCCGGCCGACGCGAGGCTGGCGAAACTAGCACAATAGCTCGGCAACAGGTGCGATCGGCCTGCTGACACCTGGGGTCGGTCACACGGCGCAGCGCGTGTCACGTCCGGCACGCGCCCCATTCGGCCCGCAGCCGAGGCAGTCACCCGTTCGCACTCGGCGCCGAGCCCTCGGAACCTGCCGCTGGCCTTCTCCCCCGAGACTGCCGCCGACCGCGGGACCGTCCTGCCCAGTCAGCCCCTGGGACGTCCTCGCGAATTTTCGGAGGGGTCACCCATTGATCTGGGCGGGGCGGGTCCTGGGCGGGGGCGTGCCGCCGGCGACGACGACGGCGCGCGCGCGCGCACAGTACGGCAGGCGGCGCCGGGCCGGCCGCCCGCTGCCGGGGCCGCTATTGCCAGCGCGCGCCCGGCCGGCCGTCAGTGCAGCGCCGGAGTCCGGCCGAACAGCACGCCGGGCCGCCGCTGCCGCCGCGGCGCCGCGCCGTCAGCGCTGCTCCCTCCGCCCGCTCTCCATAACTGCGAGTACAATGTCGCCGCGCGTGCAGCGCGGCCCGCTCGGCGGCTGCTCGTGCCCGTTCGCGCTGGCCACCGCCGGGGCCCAGTAGCGCCTGAAGATGGGTGAGTTCGTGACTCTGACGGTGCCGCCGACAGCGTTCAACGAGGCCGTGTCGGTGGTGCCGGACGTGGCGTCGCGCGCCGACGCGGACATGCCGTGGCATGAGGTGCTGCTGACGGTGCTCAAGGCGCTGGCCATGGTGCTGATCATCGTGTCGTCGGTGCTGGGAAACCTGCTGGTGATCTGCAGCGTGATCCGCTACCGCCGGCTGCGGGTCATCACAAACTACTTCATAGTGTCGCTGGCGCTGGCTGACATGCTGGTCGCGCTCGGCGCCATGACGTTCAACGCCAGCGTGCAGCTGTCGGAGCGCTGGATGTTCGGCCTAGTCGTGTGCGACCTCTGGAACTCGCTGGACGTGTACTTTAGCACTATCTCGATCCTGCACCTCTGCTGTATCAGTGTGGACCGCTACGTGGCCATCGTGCTGCCACTCGAGTACCCCATGAAGATGACTCGCACACGGGTGCTGCTGATGATCCTGGCCGCGTGGCTGGCGCCCATCCTCATCTCGTTCATCCCAATCTTCCTCGGCTGGTACGCCACCGACGAGTACCTCAGCTCCCGCTCCCCAGACGAGTGCTCCTGGGAGGTCAACATGTGGTTCGCGGTCGTCTCCTCTTCCATATCCTTCTGGATCCCGGGCGTCATCATGGTCTGCCTGTACCTGCGCGTGTTCAGAGAGGCGGACCGCCAAGAGCAGATGCTGCACAAGGCACGCGGCAAGGCCCAGATGCTGGTCACACAGAACGGCGGAGCGGATGGAGGTAGGTGTTGGAAGTGTGGTGGGTAAGATTAGGGACTAAGGTCTTGGGCAAGGCGTAGGGGGCTGGAGGGATAAGACTGGGCTTGTCTTACGGGCAAGGTGATTGGGAAGTAAAGCTTCGGCACACGGGGGTGCAAGAGATAGGGTGAAAATATGTCTTAGGTGCCGGATTACGAGGGAGGGATAAGCGTGGCCTGGACTGTGAACTGCAAACTGTGTTACTGTGTCTGCTGCTTTCGTGTTGTCTGATTTACATGTATGAGTTATTTTCATCCCATGTTGTGTCTGTTGGGTGATGTGACTTTCGTCCAATTTTGTCGCAACAAGGTAGTTGGGGACTCGACAATATGCCAAAGTTCCGATCACTACCTTTGGCAAGTCAGGTAAACATCCTTTCAAGTACGCTCTTCAACTAGATGGCTGGCTCGAGAAGATTGAAAATGGCTCGAGGCTGGCCTCGTGTTATATAGATGTTCTGGTAAATCTTTTGATGCGTTCGCTTTCTTCGTGGGTGGTTGATAGAATGATTGGTAAAAAGATGGCAGGACGATTGTCTATAGGCTTAGTTTTTGGAAACTTACAATGACATCCGTTACTCACGCCCTTTTACGTAGATAAGACTCATTTGATGGATCATATGATGGAACTATGCAACAAACTGCAATGTGTTTGACATGATAGATTAGCTATCATATTTTAAAAGTAACAAAGCTCTTGTTGAAAGATCGTTTTATTATTTATTATTGTCATATATGTGGGATTTTATTGAAATAACGATAGCTCCGACCATATGTCGATGTCTAGCAGAAGTCTGCATAAATATCGCTGGTAATTGGGAGCAATGTGGACAATGACCCGTTACACAACAAGAAAAACAATTCCCAATTGCTTTGTTTTAATAAGCTCCTGCATTTTAATGTCTTGTTGCAATCTTCAGAATATGGTATGGATCGGTTTCTTATCAGACGATCTTCCTTACAATAATTTTCAAAAAAAAGTTCTTTTGCGCATTTCGTCGGAATAATTTTTCGGAATATACTTTGCACCTTCCCAATACTTCATTGATCCATGTTACAGTTCTGCACCATTCTTTTTATCGGAAAACAATTACTGCGGCTACATGGTTCACCTTGGCTCCATTCCACGGTCAGATCCACCTGCCAAGACCCACCTCAACGGGGCCGTGACCTCATCTCGTGGACAGCCATCCTCCTACACATGACATTGTCCACAGCATAGCTCGATAGACTCGCCGGGCATTTCAGCTGTCTCCGCCGCGTGCCGGCACGACTGGGGAACGTTTTACTGCCGCCGTCGTAATTAGCGACTCGTGTAAGTGCCGTGATTAGCCGGAGCCAGCGCCGGCACCGTCACAACAGTGGCGCGCGGCACGCATCCGGCGCATCTGTTTTCCGCGGCCGGTCGTGCGCGCCGCTGTCGTCGGGTTTCGTCCAAACAGCCCGGCTGTCGGCTGCCGATCGGCTCTGCGGCTCGGCTGCAGATGTTGCGGTCCGGTCTGAGGTCGGGCTCCGCTTCCCGTTCCCACCGCCTCCTATTAAGCTACTGCGTTCCGTGTCCGATGGGAGCGGTCGCGGTTAGCGCTGATGTGCGTTTGCGATTTCAAACCTCCTGTTTCTATTCTCATTTCCTCCACTCGCCTTCTCTGATTGCCTGGCTCCTCCAATCCTTTGCCGCTGCGGCGGCGGAGCGGGAGGCCATAACAACACCATACGACGGTCGTTTGCCACGTTTACGACGACAGCTGATCATTGGCGGAGTGATACGCCAGGGTAAACAGCAGATAGGCCGTGCCGGGTGTGCAGCGCCTCCGCAGACTCCGAGAGCTGCTCAGCAGGAGCGCTACTTCACACAGAATCACGGCCTGCACCCGGCAACGGCAAGTAAACCAGTGGAAACCAGTGGTCACTCTCAGACCACGATTCTTGACGTCATCCTAGGCGATGACGGGTTTCGGACGGGCGGCGACGAATGCGCAGGCGACGGCGCGATGACGGAGGGACGACTGACGGATGACGGACGGATGACGGGTCTGATCAGTCGATTGACGGACACGTGTTGAACAGACGGCAGGATGAGCGATGGCAACAAACACCCATCATCAGGTTCCGTTAGTATAGCGGCCGGTGGTCAGTAGTCAGTCCTTGTCCACTCCTACAACCGCTCTCTGCACGACGAATGTCGGCACGGCCTCGCGTGTTCGTATGAACATATTTGGCGGCGTGGGTTGAGGGGGTGGGTGGGGGAGGGGATGGGCCCTCGGAGGGGGTCGGTCGCGGTGACGTGGCTGGCGCAGCGGGGGAGAGGCTGGCTGGCATCCACGGCACCGTCTCGGCCACTCAGCGGATGTGCCAGAACTCGCTGTGACAGCCGTGGACTCCTAAACCACCCTTTTACCACTGCTCCTGTCTGCCGCGGCACGGAGAGCACCATGTTCCGCTTGTTCCGCCCCTGATCCGAGTGACAAACCTTTCTCATCACGTCGTTCCCCATATCCTCTCCGGTCGCCAGTAAACATTTACATGTCGCATCCCCTTTGCGGAGCGGCCGCTGACGAAACAACGCACCGTCGCTGGGGGCCCGGCCCTGCTGAGATCACAGCGAGCCCCGGCCTTGCATCAGTTGTACTGAGGCGATTTAACACTGTCCTAATCACATTGTGAGTGACGTGCCGTCATCGGTGACATGACGGATCGTTCATCGTTTGAGAGAGCAGTGGTCCGCTAACGGAAACTGCCAGCAGGGGAAGAGGATCGAACCTGCCTCCATGCGGGTGTTGATAGCACAGCATTGAATGACTCCCACGTGAGAAGTATGAAATGACGGATACAAATCCCACGAGTTGTTTCCCAATCATCACAGGTGCGTACATACATGCCGGATTATTGCGTAAAACCGGATGTAAGATGACTGCGGGCTGGATAATATTTCCAGAAGTCACCACCTTGCAGGCTGCTAGTATATAGTTATATATGTAGGTGACAAGAATATGCAGGATCTGACTTTTCAATGTTGTCACTGTTGTTATTGTTATTTTCGATTTAGGTAGTTGTTTGTAAGCATGAGGCTAGAAGCCTTCTTATTTACATATCTCGATGCATCCCTCTACTATCGGTATCGGTCCGATCAGCTAGCTCAGGCCAATGCGTTCGTTCTCTTTACCATATTGCACTAAAGCTCTTTTTTTCTCCATGTTTTTAGAGTCATTGATGACCAGAATTCTCAAGCGACAAAAACAAATGATGCCGCGCCGTATAGGTTCAATCCCACAGCCCCTCTCCAGACTAGCGGTAGGGCGGCTACGACGTTTGTCCGATGTCTGGCTTCCAGGTTTGCACCGATGCAGCCAGCATCAAACATGACTGGGCACATGGACCTTCCCTGCAAAACCCCGAATGCATCCTAAGGTTGCCGCTCTTCCCAGCCCACCGGCGGGGGCATCACCAATTCGGCGCCTCCCCTATATGTGCCTGCACGGTACGATTATCATACTAACCCGATCGGGGCGCTCCGATTTGGTGGTCGGCCGCTGGCGCCGCGGTCGGCCGGACGGACTGGCCGGGCACCATATCCAGCTCTGGTCGACCTCATCTCCCTGTGCGATCGGCGACTGGTGAACGGTTTACGGCGATGTGTCAGTGCAGTCTGACGGAGTCTGGCGCCGGTGATATGTGCAGTGTGCACAGAGCTCTGCTCACAGTCCAGAGGACCACCCCGGTGTGGCACACCACCCTAGCGGAAAGGAACAGTCTCGCGTCTTGCACGCTTCTGATTCGGTTCACTCGCTGAGCACACCCAATGGCTCGACCACCAAAACAAACCATCTGGGAGCTGCTTATGAATTCGCGGTGGAGTCCCGTAAGCTGTCAGTAAAGTGTCTGGCAGGCAGGGACCGGGACGTTCCCCCTAGTGGCGGCCTGTGTGGGGATGTGAGATGGTTTCCGCGATCGCCCTCTGCGTCACTGGCGCCGCAACAAAAGGTCAGGGACGGAAAAGGAAAGTGCACATACCTCACTTAGGACAAATCGAGAGTGATATGTTGCGACCAAACACGTGAATAAAAGTGTGAATGATTCATTTTTATTACGGAGCGAGCGAAGAGAGCGTAGTCTTTCCTTAGATTAACGGAAATTTCTGAGTATGAGCGGCCGGCCGGCCGGCCGGCCGGCCGTGGTCACGCTTTTGCGAGGCTTATATCTCAGCAACCACTTGACCGATTTACACGCGGTAATTTTTGTAGGGTAGCTTCATTCCTTCTAACAAGTATTGGACTATCCGCGATGCATGTGGGTGACCCCTTATGCACGTGCCACGTGCAAAACGAAGAGGTGTCACTTTTGTAATTGTTGCAATATCTCGGTAACTACTTGGCCGATTGCGCTGAAAGTTGGCATGTAGGTAGGCACCCACTAGGCAATGCATATCCATGTGCCAGAGTTGGGGTGCTGCTGCACGTGCGCACGTGCAGGGGTCGATTCCAGATCTTGAGAACGGCTGGACCGATGACACTCAAATTTGGCACATGGTTGGGGACCGGTTAGTAGGGTGCCGTGCAAAAGTCAGTTGGGACCCATTTTGCACGTGCGCACGTGCAGGGTGCCGCTTCCAGATCTCGAGAACGGCTGGGCCGATTGTGCTCAAATTTGGCACATCGCTAGAGACCGGTTAGTAGGGTGCCGTGCACAAGTCAGCTGGAGGTACCCCGTCGAAATTTCGCACGTGCAAGGCCCACCCTCTCGCTCGCTCCGTTAGTCGCCCCAAAAGGCGTTATACTGGTAAATAAGTGTAGGTCTTCGCTAGGAGCTGCGCAATTGACCATTACATTTATCCTTCTGAAAAGATGCTCAAAAGTATAAAAAAACATGCGTGACGTATCGTTAATATTGATTCATTTTATTTGCATCAGTCGTTTTGCGTTGGTTTTACGTAACCAGCCCCCCGTTGTCCGCTCATTTACCCTAAGCATGTTCAAGTGAACAACAC